AAAGCTGGAGAGGGGCCCGAGAGAATGAGAATGGTTACTCTCTGCTGACTGAAAGCAGGAGATGCTCAGTCAGCGCTCTTTAAGCTATTTTTGTCCTCTTGGCTGCCTTTGTATCTGGATTGGGCTTGATTTGATGAGTTTATAATTGACCTACAATGGCTTGTTGGAGCATTTATTCAGCAGTGCTAGGACAACTACGTGCATGTAGGAAAAAAGGAAAATTTTAATTTCAAGTGAGGCATTACTTTAACCAAGAGTGACACCAATTTCTCATGTTCCTTCTGCTACTCAAGAGGAGCACAAGTAGGTCTACAGCTTGAGCTGAACACAGGGAATGCAGGCGTCCGGTTTGTTCACTTGCATAGGAGGGCAGGGGACTCATGCTGGTCTTGACAAGCCGTTTTCCATTCATCGGATTGTTCATCCGTGCAGGGCTTTGCTGTTAGCAGTGTTAACCTGGGTTAGTGAAATGGTCACACCTCTACACAACTCCTGTAGGCATAGTTTGGCAGTTTTAAAGAAAGCTGATAAGAAAGTTCCCTTGGGTCTGTTAAGCAGCCTCCATAGGAGAAATTCTTTGTTTCAACTTGCATGCTTCACTGTCACTTTCATAAATATCTGATCCTTGCTCCATCTGGTACTGGATTTAAAAAATATGGCATCTAACCAGTTCTCAGATTATCAGTCTAACAAACAACAAGTAGTGTAATAATTACTGATTTTTTTTTTCTCAGAATAAAAAACTTGTTCCATGAAGGAGCCTAGAAAACATCCCATGTTAGGGGACACTCTTCCTGCCTTCTCTATAACCAGAGTGCCTTTTTCATGCTTTTTTTTCTCTCCTCCTGGTCTCCACCCAGGATATTTCAAGACCCAACCTCAGCATTCAGCAGGTGCTGCAGACCCTCCTGTGGCAGAGTCCTTCCGTGTGAGGGGTGGGCACATCCTTATCTTGAGCCTGAGCCTGAGCGAGCGAGGAGAAGAGGAAGAAACTTCTGCATAGCTGATCCCCAGGATAGGAAACATAGCTTTCTGGGAATTTGGGAGCCAACAACTGACTTGGACAGAGCTGCTGCCAACACTGCTCTACATGGCAGTGAAAAATATTGACATTCCCAGACGATGTACCTGGACCATTCCAACACCATGGCCCACAAGACACTTCCTCCACAGTCCTCTTAGTCTTTGGTGCTCTGCTACAAGAAGCTGAGTAGTCTATTGTCTGAGGCAGTTTTGCAGAGCAAAGGGTTGTATTAATGAGAACACTTTAGATTAATGCCAGCAAGGTTATCCTTTGAGGTTTTTCCTTTATATTGAAGAAATGAAACACTCTGGTTTCACACCATCCTGCCAAAGGGAGCCTCTCTAATAGAAACTGGGCACAGTGAAGGCTTTGGATGGGAAGAATTTGGGGTTGCAATTCTTTTCAAACAGAATAATCGTTAGAAGGTATCTGAGCAGTCACGCTATTTCCCCATTTGTCATCAAATGCATAAGGAAAACTGCCTCATCTGCAACTCTGCTTTCAAAATTCAGTCAGAGCAAGTTGTATACATTACTTACCACAGCACAGCCTCTTTGCTTTTCTCTGAATGAACACCACCATGATTATGATTTTACCAGCACTATGGTATATTACCACAGAATTTTCACCTACTTGACTAAGAAGCAGTGAAAAATCTTACTCGCTTTTTTAACCTAAATGGGTGGCATATAAATTAATGCAGCCCACAGGGCACTCTAAGTAAAATGATTCATGTTCCTTACATGGCAAACATTAACAGATTTTTTTTTTTTTAATCACTTTAGTAAACAATCTTTGGGGAGTTTTGCTGAGAGCCTAATCTGTATTTAATTTAGTCATTTGAAAATTACATGGAAGAGCTTTGTGAAAAATCTCTTCAAAATGTAGCTGTGTTGTTTACCTTAATACTCAAAACAGCAGCCAAGTGAAGCATTTGCTTTATTCTGGCCTCATTCTGTAAACGACTGAATGCATAAATCCAAGATTCTGGATCCAGCCCACTGTAAGCTTGAGCCCTTCATTAATTCCTTCTTTACCATTTTTACATATTTGCTGAAAAAAGCTTTTTGCAAGTTTCCCTTAAAAATCTGTCAAAGTCATTAGATATGACAGCTTCACTAGCATACAACGCTAAGGAGAAAATGCTGTCTAGGTACTACAGTAAAAAAAAACCCTCCTGTGTTAAATGATGGAAGAAAAAACAAAGAGGAAGCCCAGCCTGGTGCAGTGGAGATTTGTGGTACAGCAACTTCTCCTTTAATTTAAACATTGAAATGAATGACTAAATTCGATTTTGAGCTTTCAGAGGCAAGATGCCTTGAGAAGCATGGCAAAAAGAAAACACAATATATGGGATGAGTTAAAATAAAAACAACAGGCCTTGTGAATAAGCCCACTTCAAAATAATGTAATAAAGGTGAAACGGAGAACGTCTGAATCTATTTTTCAATTAAAAACCAAGACAAATCATTAATATATGCCTAACAATGACTGAAAACACAACCTGCTAAAATGGCTGAGTCTCATTGGGGCTGCATTTAAATTCTGCTAAGTATTAAGAAATGCCTAAATAATGGACAGAGTTCAGGGGTGCATAATACATCTTGTTATAAAGAGCACCTGCTGAGACCATACTGGCCTATAGTTTAAATATTTTCTACAATTAAAATACCTAAATGTAGAGGCCACCTGTTTCCTGCCTTTGCCTTCCCCAAGTGCCAGAAGTTTTACTGTAAACACAGGTGAGCAAAATAAGATGCTGCCTGATCTTAGGGGACTCAAGGAATTTGCACAACAGCTGAAGTCCCAGCCAGCCACTTTTGGACTCCCGGACCATCAATTAAAACTGATGAAAGAAGCAGCATCCTCTCTTCCTCTCCCAGTGGCAAGACGCTTACACAGGAATTCCCACACCAGGCTGGGGCAACAGCTATCCATCCAGCAGTTTGGATTTGACAGTAACCAGTACCAGATGTTTCAGCAAAGGCATAATAAAATGCAGAGAGAGTAATTGTGGAGAAAGCTACTCAGTTTTTCCTGATTTCCTGCTGGTCCCTGGGCAATGCATATACCCTGGGACATACTGCATCCCAAGAAACTGGTCTGGCTATTCAGAAATTTGCCAAAAAGCTGTCCAGATGGCAACCCTGAATTCATTGCTGACCGGTAAAATAGAGAGGCTGTAGACCATCCTTACTGTATGACCCTTAAGAGAGGTTGGATTTCCATTTAATTTTAGTCTAACTGTGAAAAATAAAGAAGGTAAAACATTTCGAGGAATTCTAAAAATGTTTTCTCTCTTATAATGAGACATATTAAGGTGGTGTCAGGTGAGCAGGAGTCTTGAAGACTGGAAATAGAGACCGGAAAATATATCTGCAGGCCCAATCTTTCCCTGATAATATTGGCACACCAGTTAATACCAGCTGGGAATCAGGTCCTGCTCATTGAGAAGGTCAGTTGCTCAGTTGTTAGCCCAAGATACCAACTGAACATCTAGTCTGGTAGCCCAGTAAGATGCAACTCAGAAAGCTCTGCTTTTGAATAATCCCATTAGCACACCAGTCCCTGGAAGAGAATCCTCCACATCAGGAAACCCTTGCTGACAAACATCTACTATCTAAAACTCCACCCCCCGCAAGAGATTTTGCACAATGCAAGCTTAGGGTAAAATGGAAACCACATGATGCTTGGGGTGTACACAGGCAAACGGGCACGGGCAATCCTGCGCTTCTCTGCCCCATGAGCTGGGCAGATGTGAGGCAGCTCCAATCCAGGAGTTGTACAGCTGCACCACTGCTGATCCTGTTGGCCATGCTAAGCAGCATCTGGCCAGTCCAGAGGGCTGCCCGTGCCTGCTCGAATAGGCACATCCTTGGTTTTGCCAGCTCAGGTGCCTGGAGCACAGCTTTGGCTGCGCTGGACCAAGGCAGGCATATCCACAGCAGGGCACAATGCAAATCAGGAAAGGAGATTGTTTTTTTTAATTTTTTTTCCCATTCCTGTTTTCAAACTTCTTTGGAGGACCTGACAATGAATCAAAGTTACAGTTTTGCAGAAATGCACAGAACGTTTATTCAATTTGACAGAAGTGTACAAATATTTCTGAAAGACATAAAGGCATAAAACAGGTCCTGGTTTCTTACTAACTAATGCACAGATGATGCCGTGAACCTGAAAGCAGGAAGCTAGCTGGCTCCTACATGGGAAAGCAGCGAAGTTCTGGAAGGGTTCAATTAACTTAAAGCTTACTATTTTTCCCCTTTCTTTTCTTTTGACCAGTGAGGTGCTTTCATCTGGTAAATTTTAATGTGTAAGGGCACTTACTGAAATGAGGTACAGTTATAATACAATAACAAACTGATTTACAGCACCTCTGCACAGAAACTGGCAGTAGTACCAAAATTATGATAAGCTTTGGGACATGAACAAACACTTACAATTATGCAATTTTGTTGAGACCATAAAAAATATCCTCTTCTGAGCAGTTCCTGAGCCAGGGGATAAGTAAAATGACCCAACAGATAAGGTTACATAGCACATTTCAGTGAAGACTATAGCCATCATTCTCACATTGCTCTTTTCTCACAACTGTTAGAAGATTACTGATCCATACTCTCAAATCTTAAATAGCAGGTGCATCTCTCTTAGCTTGCCCTTTTAGAAAGACAACTCAAGAGAAAATCAACACTAGCTTTCACAGCTCTTGGTGGCATATTTACAATTCCAAAATGTTACGCCTCCCCTGCTACCCATTGCTTCTTGCAAAGCATTTGAAATCATGTCATAAATTAAAGATTATAAAACAAAGGCTTCAAAATAACTTAATTGTTATATTTATCATGGGGAAAATCTTGCACTGAATATTAAATACTATCCTTAAAGCCATTTGGTCATACAGAGAGCAACTATGGACATTTAGAAAAGCAAACACAATTGTATTTCCAAAGTGCTGCTGAGATTAGAAAATGAGCCATCAGAGGTAAACAATCTTCTCTTCTATTCTGCCTCCACTTCCTGCATCTTGGACGCTCTCAGGCTGGTGGTTCAGCAGCAGTGCATCTACCTGTGGTGGCTGGATGGATCCCTCGTTTGGAATGCTTGTTTGGGGACCCTGGGTCTGCGATGCATTCAGATCTGTAACGCACAAGAGAAGTCCATGTGACAATGCATCTTCTGCTATGCCCGTGCCATCATAAAGAGCAAATTCTGACTTTTTCATTAGCACCATTTTCTAGTTTGCTGCATCTGTCTAGAAAGGAACACACTGCTGTATTACAAATGATACTACAGCCTGGTGAGAGATACCTTACCCAAGTTTACTGAAATCTGTTCAAGTCTGTCCACTGTCATCCAAGGGATGATCACTGTCACTATTTTAACAATAAGAGAAATTTATACCCATACTTCACTAACCAGACATACAAAAATGGAAAGGCATAAATGCTGTCAGAGTTGGGCTGGAGAGAAACATACAGCACATAATTAGTACCTTTATTAGTAATAATACAATTGTAAAATTAATACAGTTTCCATCACTACGCAGAATTTTATTTGCAAGCCTCCCTTTTACGGATGAAAAAGAATCAACTGAGTAAACCCAGTTAGAAGTCTAATTGACTGGCACTTGCAGTCTGTAACAGATGCATAACCATTCAGCTTTTTCTGCCAAGTTCATCTGTGTTTATTTGCACAAACTACCTACTCTATTCTTGTCTCAATCCTTTAGGTGTGACGTGGAGATAATACTTGCACCCAAACACTAAGAAATTATTAAGGATCTTCATTTGTTATCTTTCCAGTTTTCTCCTGCAAATGCAGAGAATCAGGTACTTGTTTTCCAGCACTGAGCTCTGAAGGCTTTTGGGATGATCTGTGCACTACTTAAAAATAACTTCGGTTGGGTCTTCTCCCTCGCCAGCTTTCTGTACTACTTCAGGCCCTCAGGAACTACACCTTAGGAGTTGGCTTTTCTACATCTGTATTTCTGCAAAGCACTTTTTACCATAAAAACAAACCGTATAACAAGGGAGCGTGTATCCTTGTACCTAGGGAAGAGAAAAGTCTGCAATGGACAAGCTGCAATACTTCTCACTGTAATCTTGCCCAGAATGATCTCTGCTCTTACATCAGGAGGGTTACCCTCTGCAAAAAGGACTCTGCAGGAAGAAGGAGAGCTTGGCACCCCTCCCACAGCATGGGTAGCCCCAGAAGTAAGCAAACCCAGCACTGGGGTCCTTTGAGCGTTGGCCATTCATACAGAGAGCTAAAAAGACATTTCATGCCTGCTCTAGTCCCTACTCCTTCTCACACATATGTGCAATGAAAATCTGTTATAAAGGAGATACTTGGTTTTTTACACACCATGTCGCTCTAACTGGCGGCAATTTAAAATGACACCTGCCCACACTTGCCATTCCCCTGGCACATGTGGCTTTCGCCAGTCTTGTTCACTGAGGCAGGGGTTTAAGGCAAACCAAGCTTGCTGGCACCCTGCAAAGCCTAGGCTCCCCAGCTGCTCCCCACCATGGGGTGGGTGGAGCGGTGGGAGATGATTATGCGATGGGCACGTGGGAACACACCGCATCGCTGCCTCTGCCTTCAGCGTCTTCTCCTCTTTGACATTCATACAGCTGGGGGGAGCAAACAGGCTTTGGGGCTTTGGCTCCCAGCATAAGCCACATACATGTTATACCTGCAGCTGAGACTGCAGGGTCAGTGGCAGGGGCAAGGTATGTATACACAAGTGGTGCTTGGTCATAGTGGGATGACACAGGATGTTAAGAAAATTAACCCCACATTCCCTTCCTTTTACTGTTTTACACTGGATTTAAAGCATCAAGTTTTGGTCTTGGTGAAAATCCAGAGTAAGTCTTGATTACAGCAAGTTCTTTGCAATATGTAACACAGCAGGATTTGACTTCCTAACTTACTCAAACAGCCCTGCTTCATTAAAGATCACTTTTGCATTTACTTCTTTTTGATACCCATATTAGAAAAAGATTACAATTTGCAGCAACAGAAGAAACCAGAAATATCCTACGTCTGCTTTTCTTTATGTAAATTGGATACTTCAGTTTTATTTATTTAATAAAAGAGCCCTACCAGTGGAAGGTCCTCAACCTCTAAACACTTATATTTTGGGGTAATTCTGCCCACATTAATATTCCTTTTAAGTCCTGTGAGTCTATTCACCTTAACAAAGTTATGTGCATAAGAATATCAGGCAGTAAGCACTTATTTGAAAGATCTGTTTCCAAAGTTTATGAAGTACATAATTGGAGAAGCCTAATTACAAATTTGAAAAAACCCAGAAAAGAAAGAGAAACACCTTACATGCAGTTATTTGCCACCATCAAAACTAAACAGTAATTGCTTCACCAATTAAAACAGTAGCTGTTTCCAAACCATTTCTCATTAACTGTTACAACTCCAAGCAGCAGAGCTGAGCAGTGGAAACTGTCAGCATTCTGGAAAAACAAATCAGATTCTGTCACTATCTAAACAAATGATTTACCACTAGTTTAGCTGCTTTTTTTATTCTTTTTTTTTTTCTCTTTTTTCCCCCCAAATTCTGTTGCACCCAGAGAACCTGAACAGCAGAAGAGCACCCAGGAGGTGAGAGCCCAGCTGCTGCTGGGGTGATCAGTGGCTTCTCAGGCTGAAAACGTTGTGCTTAATCCAACTGAGGAGGGAAGGGGCTGGTTTTGGCTGTGCTTCAGGTGGCACTCAACACAGGCTCTGCCTAATAAAAGTAGAATGTGTCCCTGGGCTGACATACTCAGCCTGCTGGTGGGGAGGGTGCCTGATCACTCCCTACCAGGTGCCATGCTGGAAGCAGCCGAGCCAGGACACCAGCTGGTATCGCAGGCAGCAGCATGATGCATCCTGACAGCGGCTGCTTGGGGAGGGTGGAAGAACTGCCAGAATTGGTAATAACAGCCTCAGGTGAAGGGAAAGTGGGGAAAGGGGACCAATCCGCCAGCCAGTACCAGTTCTTGTTATGCAGAGCACTGATAGCTACCAAGAAGCCTCTCCTGAGCTCCCTGTGCAGCACAGGGACCGGCTGCCCTTGGCCCCATGCAGGAGAATGGTGGGAGAAATCCCCCTCTTTAAATGCTCTCCCAGTACAGGAAAGAAACCTCCACAACAAGCCTTGAAAGCATCAGCTGCAGCCTACTAAAGAACTCTGAGAGCTGAGGATGCTCAAAAAAAAAAAAAAAAAAAAAAAGGTATTATCCATGCAGACAGCAAGGAAGAGGAAGGCTGGTGAAGGGGGCTGCTACCAGAAAGTGATGGCTGGGAAGTTCTCCCATGCTCCCCAGGCAGGTGGGGCACCCATGGGAACCTCCCCAGCCCCGTTCTCTGCTGTGCTATGACTGACAGTCAGAACTCAGTATGGACCACGAGCCAGGTAAGTAAGGACCATCGGCCTTTTATGAGCCTCCTTCGTTGTGACTGGAACTCACCTGCCAACATCAGCCACAAAATGAGTTTTGTATTATTCCCTTTCTTTAAATTCAGCGTTTACTTACCCTTTCCTCTGCTCCCTTCCAACCTGTCGAGTGATGCTCGGGCAGGCTGTGTTCAGCTCAACAGCGCACCCACCAGACTAGTACCCAGCAAAACTGCTGCCACTGCCTCTGCCTGCACCCCTCCTGCCTGGGCTGGGCTCTGCCCGCTGTCTTGTTCCTGCACCCCTTGCACAGAAAGGACAGGCGAAGTTGACTACCTGGCCACAGCCTTCCTCTTGCTCATTTACACCTAAGGAACACAATTTTTCCTTCATATTTATATAAGAGCAGAAAATATTCCCATATTTCCAAAGCTTTAACAAAGCTGAGCTGTAGCTCAGACCCTTCTATGAGGTCTTCTGTGAGACTCCCGGCTCCCCACTCCCTCCAACTTCTGCAGCGGCCAAGGGCTGTTGGCATCTCATTGCACCCTGGCCCCTGGAGTTTATGTGCAAACTGAAACACCCTTTACCTGCTTCTCAGTTATGCAAAATTTATTTCTCCTACAACACTGCAGGTAACTCTCTTCTAAAGAGCCAGATCCGCAGCTGCACCGTGTATATCCTAGATAAGAACGGCACAGCTGACCAGAAAAATCCACTTTTTCAATGTTGGGCTGGTCAAACTCCCCAGCAAAGAGGGACTGGCTTGAGGCTGGAGTCCAAGTATGTGGTGATCTGTGACAGCACTTCAACATTTTGGGGCCATGTAGCCTGTTCAGCCCAGCAGTGCCACACCACAGCACAAAATACCACTTAAGCCCAGCCCCTTCTCCTTTTTATCTAAGCTGAGACCATTTCATTAAATAAAGAAAACCCAGGCATTCCCTGTTGTCTCCCCCACCAATTTTCTCAAAAGGGGTTAGAGGCTGTTTCTAACAAATTCTGGAAAAAATCACAAATTGTCTCATGCATACAGACCCATACTGCCAAATCCCACATTAAAAACAAATCCAATTTCCCCCCTGTTCTCTATGAGTTTAGCTCTGGTACTATGAGGATAGGTATCAGGAAACTCCAGAGAGACACTCCCCCAAAATAAAAATACTTTTCTAGGCAACCTATAGACAACAATAACAGCAGACTGCAGGCCTGCAGTGCGTGGGGCCAGCTTTCACAGGAGTTTTTAAGGACATCTCGGTTCTCCAAATGGGGTCTGGGTCCAAACTAGGAGAAATGAGAGCTCCTGGCTAAAAACATGCTGATGTTGTACAGGAAATGAAAAAAAGTGGCATTCCGCATCCTAACTACCATACCCTACCCTTCCTGTAGCACTAAGAGACAGGATTAGTGGCATTGCATAAACTGCTCGGAAGGTGAAGCACAAAGCAATGGCATTTGCAGGAATCTGAGATCAATACATACCAAAACACACACAGCCCATGCTCCGGTGGGGGGGGAGTTGGGATACAATAGCCAAGTAAACAACTCATTAGTCACACTGATTCTCACCTTCCATCTGTTGTCATAGGATGTAAGCACTTCCACATCAAATAAATGCCACAGATTTTCTCCTTCACCCCTCCTCTCTCCCCGGAGGATCAGAGCTCTTCAGGTAAGCCTAGAGTGCCCACAGCGATGATTATGGGAAGGACAGGAAGACATTATCAAGGCACTAGGAACA